TATATAGGGTTGCTATGAGTCGCAAGCGACTCGATGGCACATAACAACTATTAGTTTTAACTCATAGTGTCCATGAAGGAAACATCACCTGATTCTGCTCCATCCTCACAAAGGCTTCTGTGTTTGAGCCTGTTGTACCATCCAATGTGTCAGTTTGTCTTATTTTTAAAGTCTTAGTTTTGCTATCTGCATTATCAGGCATAATGCCCTCCAGAAATTGGTCCTCCCCACCTGATGATATGTGATAAGTGATACTGTCCTACTTACTTCCAAGGAATGATTGTTATATCAGAGAATCTTTTTTTCTCCCCTATTTGCAGAAGAAGAAGGATATATAGAAAACATAGGGTTTAGAAAAGTTCAGAGGTCAAGGATGAAGATCGTTAATCTAAGTGTTCATAAGCACTAATAGAAGTACAGTAAAATCCTGTTCTTAATTGCCTTGAGAAGTAGAACTGAGATGTTTGTATGCTTAGAACATGTCTTTGCGTAAAGTTTCTCTTTTAGAAAGAGCAACATTTGTTGAGAAACCAATTGATATATTTCAAATAATAAAAATAAAATGCAATTATAGATTTTAAAAGCCCATTAAAATAAAATTGACTAGAATAGATGCTTATAAAGAAGAAATACAAACATGCCACCATAATATGATACTAGTATAGACTTTGTGGAATAAGAGATGCCTTGGTTAATGTCAGAAGGATCTTGACTCAAAGCAGTGAAGACAATAAAGATATTTATGTTTTTTCTTTTCTATGCAAAGGCAAATGACTGCATGAAACATAGCAAATTATGGACATTACAGTGAGTGGCAATTGCTGAACTTGGCTGTGCTCAAGGAGATCTTGTATATAAATCAAGATGCAGTCTTTCAATAGAATAAGGGAACATTAGATGGCTTAACATGAGGAAGAGTGTAGATGAGGGTTGTATCTTTTTTTACCATACTCACTGACTTTGTGTGCTGAACAAAGAAACCTGAAAAGTTGGATGTTAAAAAGAGGATCATCATTGATATTAGAAGAAAACTGAGTAAACACTTGCTGTGTACAGAGCACACAACACTTGCTTGCTAAAAGTTCAGAGGACGTAAGCACTTACTGATGAGGAACAGAGAAAAAAAGTCTAAAGCATAGATTACACTTCCACATAAAGAAAGCAGAAATCTCACATCATGAAAAACAGGGAAAAAAAACCAACCCTGACGTTTTGAAGGGTCTAATTTTACTTGGATCCATAGTTAATGCCCCTGGAAACCACAGTCAAGAAATCAAATGACATATTGCAATGGACAAATCTTCTACAAAAGACCTCTATAAAATATTCAAAAGCAAAATACCCTTAGGGGAATAAAGTGGTACCTAACCCAAACTAGACCAGGAGGCTGTTGTGTGAATGGAGCAAGGGTAAACTTCATAGATTAAAATCAAGAAAGCTCTGTATCAGGGCTGTAGCTTTTCTCCATTCCTGTATACTAGCCCAATTGTTTGAGAATTTGGACTTTATGAAGATGAATGTGGCATCAAGACTCGAAGAAGATTCATGAATCAAACAGTTCTCTAAGACTAGTCAAAATAAGAAATGTATCAGGCAAAGAAATAGAATCACATGGGTATATGCGAAGACATTTTTATTTTGAATTTACTTTTGTTTTATTTTAACATGGGTATTTTCTTTTTAACACTATTAAACTGATTTTTTAGGGGGAAAAACCCAAACAAACAATAAACAAACAAACAAACCCAACCCAGTAAATCCATTGCTGTGGACTAAAAAAAAAAAAGACTAGAAGAAGATTTCACCAACAGCCTACATTTTGCAAATGATGCAACCTTGCTGAAAGTGAAGAGGATGTGAAACACTTGCTGCAGAATGTCAAAGACTTAGTTTTCAATATGGATTACATCTTAACATCAAGAAAACCAAAATCCTCACCACTGAGTCTTGGTGAAGCAGCAGTCGAGAAATCAAAAAGATAAGTTGCACTGGAGAAATCTGCTGTCACCTCTCCAAAGTGCTAACCAGCAATATAAAGACTAATGTGCACCTGATTCAAACTGTTACTTGCTACACATCTAAAGATTGGAAAATTAATAAGGATAACAGAAGAAGAATCAATACCTTTGTGATATAGTTTTAGAGAAGAGTACTGAATATCCCATGAACACCCAAAGAACAAATATGTTTTGGAGAAAGTACAACCAGGTGCCCTTATAGGTGAAGATGTCAACAATTCATGCACATACTTTGGACATGTTGTTAGTAGGGACCAGTCCTTAGAAAAGGATATCATGCTTAGAAAGGTGGAGGGTTCAGAAAAGAGAGGAAGACCCTCAACGGGACAGAATGACACAGTCACTGTAACAATGGGATCGATTAACTCAGATAACCAGCAGGCTAGGACAAGGTTCTCTGAGTCAACCCACTAGACAGCACCTAACAACAACAACCCAAGCTGTGATATTTTCATTTACCTCATATGCATACAACAGCTAGATGATGAGTAAGGAAGACTAAAGAATTGATGCCTTTGAATTATGGTGTTGGCAAAAAAATACTGACTATAC